CAGGGTACAGTTCTTTGATCAGAACAGCTGCTTCTCTTCTCAGCATTGACTACAAGCACACCCAGGCCCTTGCCTCTCTCAACTTCCTGACCTGTACCCTGTTCAGGTAAGAAATGCCCGAAGTACTTCACTCCTCCACCGTAAGTCTTGGCCTGAAGGTGCTCAGCTCTAGCACCAAGGGTCAGCACAACTAATTAATTACCTTACACACCCCTTCCGTTACTCCCATAATCACCTCATATGCACATGAAAGTTGAACATGGAAGACAGAATAGATGCATTTGAATTACAGTGCTAGCCAAGAATATGGAAAGTACGTGAAGTGCCAAAAGAACAAACAAGTTTGTCTTGGAAGAAGGAAAGCCAGAATGCTCCTTAGAGCGATGTCAGGGAGAATTTGTCTCAGGTGCTTTGGACACATTGCCAGGAGACCAGTCCCTGGAAAAGGACATCATGCTTGGTAAAATGGAGGGGCAGCGACACAGAGGAAGGCCCTCGGTGAGATGGACTGACCCAGTGGCTCAGACATAAGTACAATTGTGAGGGTGGCGCAGGACTGGGCAGCGTTTCTTCTGTTGCGCAAAGGGTTGCTGTGAGCTAGAACCAATTAGACAGCACCCAACAGCCATGTTTAAGTGCCCGGAGACAACCCACTCCACCAGCACGCCTTCTGCCTGAAGGCATTCAGTTTTATCACTTCCTGGGCCAGGAAGCCTACCACTCTGTCTCCTGCTCTAGGTTCTGCCGTCTCTGCAGCTGTCACTTCTCTGCCACTGGCTGCGTTCTCTTACCATCTCTAGCAGGGGTCCTCAAACTACGGCCCACGGGTCACATGCGGGCCCGCCGAGGACATTTATCCGGCCCACCAGGTGTTTTTGCCCTGTGTTTTGTTTTCATTTCAAATAAGATATGTGCAGTGTGCATAGGAGTCTGGTTCATAGTTTTTTTTAAACTACAGTCCAGCCCTCCAACAGATCAGAGGGACAGTGAACTGGCCCCGTTTGAGGACCCCTGATCTCTAGTATCACAGCTGTCTCCTGGATTGAGGAGGATCAGCACATGGATCTTGGGGTCCAAAGGATGCGTTCTACTCCTGGCTTTTTTTTCTTCATGATATGAGATCTCCCCTTTCCACTTCTGAGAAGGCTTATTTTAAGTCTAGAATTATGGTAAAATTAATTAACCCCCTTGTCCATACATTTCATGTGGTCTCACCCTACAACGATACCATACCTCTTCATTTACATAATTAGCAAGCTATCCAATAACCTTGGTGGGCCCAAGCACTTCCATTTATAGTCCTTAGTCATTTGGCAGGAGTTACAAAGAGGTCATATAATTTATAGCACTGCAGGTGACCTCACTACTGAGACTTTGGGCCTGCGGTTCCTGTGCTGAGAACCTTCTAGACCCAGGAGACAGAGAACTGCAATACTGGAGATGACTCAAGGGTAGAGAAACAGTGGCCCCTACACCAGGAGACTGATACTGTGGTGGGTTTCCCGGCACATGGAGCAGGGCAAGGCTGCTACAATGGATTTGTCAACTCACAGAACCGAGTGCCTTTGAGCAGGAGGCTTACAGGCAGACTAAGGTGCTTCTGATCACTTGACTGACCGAGGCTTACAGACCACAGAGCAAAAGAACTGAGTACTTCCAAGCCAAGGTGTCCTGGCAGAGTAGAGTGCCTCCAGGAACTTACTGGCAGACCTACTGCCCAATCAGGGCAGAAGCCACGCTAAGGGTTTTAAGGCCAAAGAGAGGCCTGCCTGTGGGCATGACTAAAAAGAAACTGCCTTTTTTTTTTTTTGAAACTGCCGTAAAAGAACTGTATCCCAAGCATTTTTGATCCTGAATTGTAACCTGTTATTTCCCTAATAAACTCCCTAACATGAGTATGGCCTAGGAGTTCGCAATGCCCAATCATGCATATGGTCTATGACTTCTGTGTGGCCATTGCAACAGATTCTTGAACCCAGCAGAGACGTAGAGTGTTGTGGGAGGACAGTTGGTATCAGATTTGGCTTAAAGGTTGGAGAGTGGAGGCAGATCTGACCTTCTTCCCAAAGGAATTGAGCTTAGGCTGACACTGATTCTGTTTCTCCTCTTGTGAAATTAAAGGTCAGGCTTTGCTCTCATATCATGGTTACACTTCTTGGGTGGCTCATTTGAAGCCTTGGGGGCAGGAGATGGCAAAACTGACCCATTCTCTCCTTAAGGTTTCATATACTTAGAGTGTCCCTCCCACAAAGAGGTCCCATGTAGCTCACTTGCATTATTATCCCCTTGGTGGGCCAGAAGTACCTTATTTAAATAGTTTCACCCATCATTTGGGGAAAGTTTTAAGACCAAGGTAATAAAGACCATAGACATGTAATTTATTCCATCAGCCTTATGTTAGATATATATTTCACCACAACACAAAATGTGAAAGATGTCTGGAAGGGCCATTATAGCAACAGAATCCATTTAAGTATCACCCAAAGATCTGTCTGCCTTCTGTTTACAAAGATTTAACACAGCAAGTCCAAAGCAGAGCTCTGGAGTAGAGTCTATAGTCCTTGGACACCTCTGACAACTGATAAGATATCAGTTCTGGGTGGTGGGGACTATCCCGTGCATTGTAGGACGTTCAGCAGTGTCCCTGGCCTCAACCCACTCAATGCAATCCCTTTGTAGTTGTGGAAACCTCAAATGTCTCCAGACATTGCCAAATGTTCCTGTGGAGGCCAGACCACTCCCTTCTCTATTCTAGAAGAAAGGGGAAC